TTATGCTCTCACTTTTTAAAAATTGGAATACTATTCCAGAACCAAAATGGTCCTAAACCTGCAATCACAGTAGGTTCACATTTTGCTCTTTGCTTACTAATGTGTGATACATTAAATATCTGTTCCTTGGATCTAGCCACAAAATGACCTTTTCAGGGCTCATCCTTTTTTCTCATTTTTGATTTGTTCAAGGGAAATTACAAACGACTGGTATTTGGTTTCCAAAAGGGATACATAAAAACTTGACCTTTTGGTACTGTTATTTTTTGGGATGTGTACACTGTATTTTAAGTATGTCTTAGCTGTTGTTTGCTGGCCTATGTCTAGTTTAAATAAGCCTTCATTTTATTTGGTGTAAAGCTAGGACCAGAAGTACAATTCCTCTTTTTTTTTTTTCTCTCTCCCATGGCAAACCTTTGCACACCCTTGAGATAATACTTTTCTTTAGGCAATTTTAAAAGAAAATAGTGTGGAATAGGCTCTGATATCTTAGGAACTTTCCATGTAGCCTGTTACATAGTGCAAATAGCCTGTCATATCATCTTCACTGCTGTGATAGCTGAGTGTCTGTTTGAGGGCCCCTTGGTGTGGGTGCACTTGTCATTTAACAGCGTGGGAAATGAGTCAAAGGAGAGTGACCAGGGTTGTTGAGGAAGGTGGTGGGAAAGGACAAACAAATCTGGACCACCAGACCGCTGTCCTAGGCATGGTTAATCCTGCTGTTTGGTATCCTAAGATGGAGTCAATATATTTCCTGTGAAAAAATGAATAGCAGGCTTTACACTTTTCCAGTGAAATCAGCTGATATGGAATTTAGGCAAGTCCATTAAGCTATTCACAAGTAAATAAGAAATCCTCCTGTCTATCTCTATAAATAGCTAATTTAATTTAAAGAGATCTCTAACACCCATCGTTACGATGAGAAATGTTACAGAGAAGGCTTGTCTTGTAGAAATTTAAGCAAATGATCAGAGCTGTGTTGAATTATCACTAAGTGGATTTCAGTTTGAGAATGAGAATTTAGGATTTTTAAAGAGAATTAAGCTGTATTTCTAACTAAAATTCTTTGATCGCCAAGTCAGGTGTTTGTGGTCGTTTAAGCCTATTTAAGTTTCTGCTGTTGATTTGCTATGGCAATTGGAAACCTTGAGTATGTGTGGTGAAGGAGTAGTGAGTAGTGCTGCTCACACTGACTGTTTGGTTTTGGAGGGCTGTCCGTGTAAACTTATTTATATTAATTTTTAATGTCAAACTTCATCAAACAACATATAATCAGAAGTTAGTCAATGCACCTCTCCTTGATGATTTGGAGTTTTCCTCATTGCAAAACTCAGATTTTGGCATTGCTAATGCTTTAGTCATAGCCTTTTAGTCATTTGTAACAGTAGTTCACAGCACAGAAATAGGTGATGAGGAGACCAAGTTGCAATAGCAGACAAGTCAGAAATGGGTGGTGAATAAACAGAAGAGGAGGTTGAGATTAGATGTCTGGAAAACTGTGTCACCAGGAGCGTAGTGCAAAACTGGAACACATTGCCAAGAAAGGTTGTGGAATCACCATTCTTGAAAATTAAAAAAACTCATCTAGACAAATCCTTAAGTCCTTATCTAATGTTATCAGTAATTTTGCTTGAGGGGAATAAAAAACAAACAAACAAAATCTATAACATGAAAGAAGGAGCCTATGCAGAAGTCTCTCCTTCCAGTTGCCATGTCCTTCCTTACATCTGAAGCGGACACTTAGACTGCCTGCCTCCAAACAGCCAGAGGAAAACTTCCTAGGTCTGGCTGCCAAAAGTCTTCTTAACACCTTACAAGTCCTGCCCTTGCTTGTCCCTCTCCTAGATGTCAATCTGTCCCATGCACTTTTCATACACACTTTTATGGGTGTGCTTTGTGGCACATCCTTATCAAACACCTTACCATGAATGGGCTCAACTGTAGGCGCAGACCCGCAGCAGAAAGAGTTTTGAATTGATTTCCCTATTCATCCTATTCTGGCACTAAAATGAACTCATCTTTTTCAGCTATCCTAATCTATCAGTCTGTGAAGAATATCTGTTACTGTCCAACAAAGACAAAGTGCACCTGTCATAGCTCCTGCAATCTCATGTGCTGCATTACGGTTTTTTAAATCAAGGCTTTCCTAAGAGGGTTATGTGAAAAGATAAAGAAAAAATTGTAGATAAAACAGTGCTAGTCAGAAGAACAGTGTCACATTCCTCAGGAGAGATCAACTTTTAAAATAAAAAGTGTCATGATAAATAAGAAGGAGAGAAAAACACAAACTTTTAACACTTCATAAAATATGAAAGGTTTGAAAAATGTCAATCTGCACCTATAAAGATGTTGAGTTTGCTAGTGTAAAAGCATTTGTGTTTTGTTTTGTTTTTTGCCTGATGTGTTTTATTATACCTGATTATGAGCTCAACATTGAAATATTTTGAGTCTAATTCTAAATATTGTTGACCAAAATAAAAGACACAAATGAAATATTTCTCTTTAAGAACTTTGCAACGAATATAGTTTATCACAGAAAATCATAAAGAGAATTTTCCTAATTTTTAGTCTGTTGGCTGAATTACAAGAATTTCCCCTTACCTGTGTGGGCTATGTGGAAACAGCATGTGGTTGGAGCACACTGTCAGAACTCAGTGCCACTTGAGATGTGATAATCTAACTCGCAGAGATATTCTGTAATTCCAATTTTGCTTTTGTCCCAGTTTTGATACATGAACAGTTGCAAATAATGGGAGTTAGCGACTTTTTCCATGCACAAAACTGATTTTAAGCATTGTAATATCTTTCTCTTTTTTCCCCCCTTGTTTCTCCTGTTCTGCTCCTTACAGGGAGCTTTAAAATGCTAAACAGAAAGCAGCAATATTTTGAGTAGAGCACTTTTCTTTGATGTGCAAGTGCTTAACTGCCAAATTCAGCAGCACTTCATGTGCAGCTGAACATTTTAAAATTTCATTCTTGTTTAAAGAGCTAATTAAGAATCTTTCTAGTACTTTTCTCAAATGATAGAGTATCCAAATTACAGAGACTACCTTGTGAATGAAAAAGTTTTGCTGAATACATGGCCAGGAGGGCAAGGAGCAAAGGTGGAGAAAACAGCTAGTCTTAAGAAAGCACAGACCATATAAAATACACATTCCTGTATAATCTGTATCAAGTAAATTTTTTAAATAATCATTTGCCCATTTGGAGCATAGGTTATTCTGGTCATTTAACTGTTTCCCACAGCAATTCTGCCTTAAAAAATGTTTTCCCATAAAAAATGGTTTCCCATAAAAAGTAAGCATAGCTTACTTAGTTTATAAGCATAGCTTACTTTTTACCAATAGCTCTGTAGACTTACAATATTGTAATGAGTTCCATATGGCATGACTACTCTGATAACAGTGTTTCTTTTGTTTTTGTTATTTTGGGATGTAAAGGAGCTAGATATATTAATTTTAGCATCCAGTGACTCAGTAGTTTTATGCTTTCAATTTTTGCAATCTCTGTTAAGTTTTTGGTAAAACTGGTGGATCGTTACAGTTATTTCTGGCTGTAAAATCTATGAATATATTACTTTGATGCACGGTAAATGAGTATACGTAAACCACCTGGTTTCTTTTACAAATGAAGGCTTAAAAACTTCTTTTTAAAATGTCTAAATATTCAAATTTTTGAAATTGAGCTTTTATTTATTCTGAATGTAGAGTAAGCAGTCTCACCCATGCACCTATCAATTATTCACTTGATATGATATAGTGGGATCCCATTTGTGCAGGTGCTTACTAACAAATACATTGAGTGTTTATTAAAAGGGCACATAGGAGGGAAAGAAGTTCGGTGACTACAACATTCGTTTGATTTTAGTGTTACTACTGCTAGTTTGGATTTCCAAAGGCAATCTTAAAATGCAAATAGAAAAAAGCAATCACAAGAATTTTACAAAGTAAGCTGGCTGTGTTCTAACAGACTTAATAATAAGCTGCAAGCAAATATTTGCTTGTATAACTTCTGTGATTTAAAAGGGTTTCTGTACATCACCATGCCAGCATCATTGAAATTCAAAGACCAATATCTACAATTTCAAACATTCCAAAGAAATAATAGGGAATAAAAACCCAAGAAAATGTAACTTAGATCGATCTTTTCTAATAAAATATTTTTGCAAGTGTTTTGGCTTTTCAAGGTGCTGTGACATCCTGTTCAGTTGAAGGAGCGCACGACTTTAATTGCACAACTCATTCACTTTAAATATTTAATAATACTTTTATTAGTTGCACTGAACCAGTGAAGTAAAATCTGTAATATCTAGTACTGGTCATCATTTTTATTCATCATGGTTTAATAAGCATTATAATTACAGATTGAGGAAGAAATACGGGTTAGCTTTGTGGTTTTGCTTGGGACTTCTGTGCACATTGATGTGATTGGAAGGGATTATACAAGCCCTGTGAGCACAACTGAGCACATTTAAATACACTGATGCAGGCTCCAAATACTGACACATTATTCTTCATATTTAGGTAACTGCAGAAAAGCTGCTGCATAAAATTATGAGTCCTGACACTACTAGCTCCATCTGGCTTAATACAAAAGTCTGGAAATTTGAAGACCAAGTGGACTTGTTCTTGGTTTTAATGCATGTTTTATCAATGGAATTAGACTTAAAACTATTTTTACCACCCTTTTCCCACCCATACCTGTTTCAAACTCACAGGAATACCTCAGTTATTTTGAGTGCACAGTTAGTTAGGGGAGCCTTCATTTGGAGATTTTGTCTGAGTTCTAACCGAAAGACCATTTGTAAACAACGCAAGCCCTCCAGGTTGAGTTGTCAAGTAAATGTGGATGTGATAATTTATAATTTTAGTATTATAAATCTGTTATATTTGCATGTGATTTGCATTCTTATGTTTTAATGGGAGCTGTGGTAGGGTAGCCTAATATTTGTGCATTTTTTAATGTTTTTGTTTAAAAAAACCTCATTTTTTCCCCATCAGCAACTTATGCGGGAGCGACAGCAGATGGCCAGCCGCCCCTTTGCTTCTGTCGATGTAGCACTGGAAGTAGGAGCTGAGCAAACAGACTTTCTCCGAGGGCCATTAGAGGTAGGAACAGTGGTGCTGACGAGGGACCGTGGTGCTTTGCATATTTGTGTTGCTCGTCGCAGCTGCATCTGCTTCTGAAGCCGAGCTCGGGCTGATTACCTGGAACTGACAAGTCTCAGCTACATATGTTATGCCATTTTCAAGGTGCACGGTTTTAATAGTATGACACAAGCTGTAACAAAAGCCACTGGAGAATCTATTAGCCTCGGCTGGAGTGACAGCCAGCTCACCTGGCAGTGCTCTCTTGATGGATAAGAGTCGAAGGAATTTAAGATACATGCATTGCGCAGGAAGCAAACCTCTTGCTCAGTCCTTCGAGTGCATAGTGCCCCCTAGTTAGCATCTATCTTAATTAACAGAGATCACAACAACCAACCAAATAAATAAACCAGTGGTGAGTTGAATTTCAATGTTCTGCCTTATGTGTACAGGTTTAAACTACCCAGAGGATGCCTTTCATCTGTGGATAATGGCAACATTCTCTTATTGCAATTGCAGTACAATGGAAAAGAAATAAGAATATGCAAGGCAATGTACTATTGGAATGGTGTAATAAGGCATGAAATGCATTTTGGAAGTTTCACCTGCAAACGGAGGGAGAAGTTCAATTTGTGGATAATAATGGATATTTAATCTATCTTGGGCTTTTGGTAGAACATAATCCTCTCTTCCTTTACTTTTATTTACAATATTGTGTTTACAGTTATTACTTTATCTTATTTATGGTGGGACCTGGGAATGAGGTGCGATAGCTCTGAAATCTTTCCAGATTGTACTTTTCTTTTCATTGCTGCCAATTCCTCTTAAATTCAAAGCTTCTCTTACTGTTCCCAAATAGCCTCTTTCAATGGAAGATTAAATACACTCTATCAAATCTCTGAGGTTCATGGAGGAGTGAACAATGTGAAAAACAGATTCATAGCAGGAAGAAAAAGAATCAACTCTTGAGTACATATCAAATTGAGGCTCTCTGTCCTGTTACTGTATGGGAAGCAATCACAATTGTTCTTGCTGATAGAATTTAAATACTTGGATTAGATAGTGCATAAAAATGTCATATCTCTTTGAAGAAGTTATTTGCTGGCCAAATACTCAAACAATGCCTCCCCCCACCACCATGTTCATCATCTTTCTGTCTCCTTTTACCTTGGATCGGAGGACCTCTCCAGCTCCCTAGATGGAGGACAGAGTAAACTGTCCTCAAAAGTTAACTTTACTGAATGTGATTTCATTGTTTCTATACTTCTATCTGAGAACATTTTCTTTGTTGTCTTCCCAGGGGGAGGCAATGAGGGGGAGCCGAAGAGTCCAAACTAATTTTATACATACTGATTATTTAATTAAACTTTAGAAGTAAACATCACAAGTTAATTACCACATTTTCTTCCCTGGTATATTTATTTAGCAACAAAAAGAGGTAGATGTAGAAATATTTTAATGTTATTTTACGGAGTTTTTGAGCTTTTTTTCCAAAGTATTTTCTAGTAATTGTTTATTGTCCTTATCTGTGATGTTTTTTCTGAATTAATATACAGATATACAGAACAGAGACCATTCAGGGTTTCCTCAGCATTACAGTATACACTGATCTATATCAAAGCATCATGCTGAAGATCAGATTAATGTTATTCAGGGTATGAATGGATTGGCTTTTGATGCCTATCCTATAAGAAAGAGCTATATTAAAGTATTTCAAGTCTATTTTGAATTTTGAGGAAGGCCAATAAAAGTCATAGCTTTCATTATGTTTTTTATTCTCAGATTTCTTTTGGCCTGACTAGCATGTGGATCTTACATATATTTTCCAGGATGCAATGCTTAAACACAAGGATAGCAGGAAACTAGATAGTACGTAGCTATAGCTACTAGGTAGCTATAATTTCATTTTGTTGATTAGAGTCGCAGAATTATTTTCATAATCCTGTAATAGCTGTTGTCTGTTGTATTCATTTAGATTTTTGTCAGTAAAAAAAGAATAGCTTGCAGTAACTTACTTCAAAATGTTCCATTTGTTTTGTAGAGGCTGTGCACAGACATATTATGAGTTCCAATTTTAATGGTGATTCATTGCATCCCCTCACCTCATGCCTCACCTCAGCTCATTCATATTATGTGTTATTCACTGATGCTTTGGACCAGATATAAAGTCAACGGCATTGCTGATATACTTTTATTGATGTTATAATAACTCCAACACATTGTATTGATCTGTGGGTCCTTTGAGCACAACATACTGTCGTCACTACTTCACATACCATTACTGCAAGTCTCCCTTCAACTACCTAGTAAGAATTCTGTTCATTAATGTCATCTGGCTTACAGGATGGTGATTTTGTACAGACTACTGTCTGTATGTCTATAATAATTTTGATGGTCTGATACATGTCAACATTCATATAAATATATACATATAAATATATGATAATTCTAGTATGTCTTTCCCTGGTTCTTTTTTTTTCTTTTTTTTTTTTTTTTTTAATCTCAAACAACTGATTTATTATAAGGTTTTAGGCATTTTTTTGTCCAGTGCTTGGAATGCATGTCTAAACAAGAAAGAAACTGGATACTATGTTTAAAATGATTGACTAGTTTAGATAGTTACAATATAATTAGTAATATTTGGGTCTGTATTTAGTTAACTGCATTTGGCAAGAAGTTTAAAAAAAAAAAAAACTTGAAAAAGTTACAGAGGAATGATGAGTCACTTTTATTTTCATCTGTCTTCCTATTTTTGAGCCTTTATCAGCTAGTCCATATTTCTTATTATTTTGGCAAACAAGATGACAGTATCCTGATACTGAGACCTTCAAAAGACATTAACCTGCATCATCTTCTCTACTGTCTGAATGCATTTTCAGGCACTCACAATAGTCTTTGCTCTTCCCAGTATAAACCATATAATTCATCTGTCTTCTTCTGAATGAAGAGAAACTCTAACATACCGTAACCAGCTTCACAAAGCTGGGGCTGCAGCCTGTTAATGAGCAGCGAAAGAAAACACCAGAAACTGTTTGTTCAGAGGGTTTGATAATGCTGTGGGTATTTTGTAATAGTGTCATAATTTCGTCAGTACTGAAATCATAAAAATGAAAATGGCACCAGTGATAAATAGACACAACTTTTCTTGCCTCTCAGTGCCCTAAGCATTAAAAGATTTTTTATTCCTTTGATTTTTTTTTCCTAGACCTTTCAGCCATTTCCAGAACTGACTGCTCTTTGCTGCTTAGCATATGCCAAAAGCTAAATCATTTAGGTTATCCTCATATCTGAGTCTATTAGGCAGGTTTTTTTTACCTAAATTTAAATCCCTTTTCAAGATTCACTTCTGCTATGCTGCCTACAATCATTTAGGTTAATCTGTATGTTGACTGAAAAGAAATAAAATGTTTGTTTCATCCTGTTTGCTGTAATTTCTGGGTACTTGTCTATTAATTTTTTTGGAAGAGAGACAGAGAGTTCCTGTGAAATATTGCGAACAGTACTATAAACTCTAATGTATGGTCATGCTAATCTCAGCAGCGTGTACTTTGCTACATCTGCTGGAATAAAGACAGATGCATTATGGCCTGCAAAAGAACCAAGCACAGATTTGATCTTATGCTGATCATACTTTTGATATCTGTACAGGAAAACCTGGATATACTTTCTGCAAATCAGTGTTCTCTAATAATGCTTTCTAAAGAAACAAATGCAGTAAACATTTCAATCATTCTTTTTCCATTGAGTTACTGCATTTTCCTGTAGAATTCCCACAGATATTAGATTGTCCTGTGCATCTGACAAAGTAAGATGGTCTCCAGAATTTTGACTTTAATGTAAAATTGGAAGCAAATTTATTGGAGCAAAATTGGAAGTGGTTCCCTAACACTAGTAATTATTATCCCCATGCCAAAAATGTCCATTAAAATCAGAGTGACTAATTAAAACACAATAAAGTACTGTAGCAGAGGTTTGTGGGATTTAAGTAGTTGTAGTTCATGCTAATAAGCTCCGTGGCTGGTTTCTCTTTCCAATAAACTGTTAGAACTTTTTAACGTACTTTACAAATAAATCTAGTTAAGCTAGGTTGGTTTTCTTGTTTAATATGAATAATTTAATGAAAAAGTTTTGAAACTGCAGTGTAATTATACTTAATATTTTGTACCAATAAAACCAGTTTATTAGCATAAAACTTGCTTTATTTTCATGATATCATGTCTAATATATATATATTTTATATATATATACACACATATATATATATAAAGAAAGGTTCTTTCTAGCTTTTTGTTATGAGTCCTCAAATTGCTCCATGATATCCTCAGTTCCTAGTCTCAGGGCCTAAATTCACCCGTATTGTAAGAGGGTAACACTTTATGGAAGGTAATGATGAAGTGGTTCCTAGAAGCGCCATCCTGTTTTCAGTGACTGTAAAAGCAATAATTATTTGGCATCAGGAGCTATCAAAGACCATTGTACCTGCACTTCTTGTTTTCCTAAGAAGTAATGTGCTATAATTTTTAATGCTGAAGAAAGTCTGTTGGGACTGCTGAACTCTGAATACTTCAAAATCCTTTTAACAATATTTTTGTATAGAATACTAATGGGCTTGATCGTTCTTTATTATTACAGGGAGTAAGTATCAAAGTATCTTGTACAAAGTATCTTGTGGGACAACTGGACTTTGTCCTGGGGAAGAGAAGGATAGTTTTGCCAGCTAATCTTTCTTTTTCTATCTATATATCATGGTCTGTGCTAAGAAAGACTTAGAGTGCAGCCTGTAATCTAATAGAGCCATGCGAATTCAGAACAATTACAGGTTGTTCTGAATGGCAGCGGGGACAGCAAAAGCCCCAGCCTGACTCAGAAGGGAAGAAACATAGTTTGGATACACCCCAACCTCTCAGTTCTTTCCAACTTTCTTCAGAAACCAGGGTTGCACAGGTTCTATTTGTAACTAATCCCTGAGGAGTCTTTGGACGTATATTTGAAGGCCAGTAGGTGTTTCTAGAACTTTCACC